GAGATTTTGTTTCATGGAACCACCCAAGTTATCAATGAACCATGGAACAATAGTTCCCTTGGGGGGATGGAGATGGAATTCAATTGAATTTCCTACCTATGATGGTATGGTGTGTATTTCCTTTTTTGGTTGGGGGTTCATCTTCTGGTTCTTCTTCTTTTTCTTCCTCTGCTCTATGTATAGCAGTGTATGTAGCCACTAGGTTATGGAATACTGCTCGCGTACTTACGGAGTGTAAGTACGTATTGTATAGCGAGTATAATCATAATTATAGAACTATGGAATGATTTGATCTGCTCAGTAAGTGAGCGATAGGGCCTCTCCTTACCCATAGACTGACTAACTATCATGTAAGTCACCAAGTAAGTAAGCAGTAGATCTCCCCAACTCGTCTACCTACTTACTTACATAAAGTATCTGTCTGCCTGTCACTCACCCACTGATCTACGAAGTAAGTATCTAGATGATCACGCACATACCGGTCGCCAAGCGCACGCCATACTTTACTTAATCATCATGGAGGCAAATAACTAGTTAAAGGGTAAAAAGAAAATACCTATAAGTCGGTACTTTTTAAGCATATCCCGAATCCCGAATCTACATAAATAGTAAGTACCACTTAGTTTACCCGCATTCAGTAAAATGTCTCACCTGCTTACTCTTTGCACCATCTCAGCACGGGCACAAGTAGTGGTTTAACACTACGCCAGTTACAAAAGTAATCAATTAGATAGTAAAAGAATGATCTCTGATCCCATCCTTCAACACGTAATGATAAAGTCATCGCGTCGCATCGATCGATCGAATCAATCACTCATTCAATCTAATTCCCAAATGACAACCAGTAGATCGATCCCGCTTCCGTTCGAACCGACAGACAGACAGACAGACAGACAGACAGACAGACAGACAGACAGACAGACAGACAGACAGACAGACGGGAAGAAAAGGAAAGAAAGAAGTAAAGTTCCACTACTAAGTCAAGTTAAGTATATTTGCCACCCTCGCTCTAAAACATCCCTGCATCTCACCCCCTCCCCCTCCCCTTCCTCTTCCTCCCCCTCCATCATTTCTCTTCTCTGCCGTCCGACACGGCAGAGAGCGGGAGTGCGTGACCTCTTCTGATTCGATCGGAACCATGGATCACACAGCCTCACACGCCTTATCATGAACTTCATAGGATATGAATTAACAGAGCGAAAAAGTGGCAGCGCACTGCCATAGTAGTAGTAGTAGAACTTAGTGGCTTACTTCATTGTTCATCTAGTGGGCTGATGACTTTTTTTTACTCTCCGCGGGGATGGTAATGGTGGTTAGTTAATTTGGATGATTGACATTTGACTGGGGAATCCATGTCATGCATGATGGCGCTTGTTTCCCATTGCTTGCTTGTTCGCCTCATCTGGGCTTTTGTGGCTTCAATTGCCGGAGATGGTAATGCCGGGTGAGTTTCATAAAAAGTAATGAATGTATTGGTGTTTTGGATGTTGTTGGTTGAGTTTTTTTACGTATTTCGTCCTACTGGGCTTTGCTTTCTTTCTTTCTGAGTTTAACAAAAGTACCCTACCTAGTAGTCGACTTGGCTGTGTTCTGTGAGTTATCTCATTTATTACTTATTGTGGTTACATTCAACTGCTGAAGTTTATTCTTCGTCCGTCTTAATATACAGAGTAGTTAGTAATTGGTCATGGCTGACATCGTAATCCCGCTCTACTACAATGAAATCCAAACACTAATTTGAATAACATAACCATCTCTGTAAACAGCGTAAAGCATTTACCAGCCTCTATACATCGTCAGTACATAATATCATACAACTACTTACTATACCACCGACCTACCCCAATACTAGTAGTACTCACCAGCGATAAACCCGAACCCGAGAGAAGAGGAGACAATCCACCTACCTCAACGCCACCGACCCCATTCTTTCTCTCCATCATCCCAGACAACATTATACACTAGTAGTTAGTAGGTAAAAGTAGATACTTTAGTAAGTCTAGTACTCCATCCATGATGATCCAACATATCCACAAGCATTGGACCATACTAACCCTCTCAATCCTTGAATGATGCAAGCCATCATTTTCCTCAATCAACCAGTAATAATCCCCCTTTCCCCCTCCGGAGAATATATGCAATTATTCCCTTAAGTAAGTAACCTAAGAAATCTTGACTTGGCGGGTTGCGAACGAACCACTTACACCCACCCACAACTTCGCATCCACATTTCCCTTCATATGGCCCGTGTCCGTCGGATTATCCATCCGTGCCGTTTTTTTATTTATTTATTCCCCTGTTGTTTCTTAATTGGGCTGGGCTGAGCTGAGCGGGTAAGGTAGGTTGTTCCAGATTCCGGATTTTGAATCCACTGGATGAGAGGGATGGATGGATTGATCTTGGGAGTTTTGGTGGTTGTGGTTTCTTGGTTCGTGGTATGTTTCTACTACTACTTCGGCAGTTGTGGGAAGATTGCCCGGGTTGGGTTGTGTAACTTAGTACTGTGTTCTCCCGTGTGTGGAGGACTGCACTACTAACCATTTATTCTCCCTTTCTTTGTTGATTTCTCTTTTATCAATTGGTATTCAATTCAATTCTCTCGGAATATCACCCACGAATAATGAACAATCGTAGCAATTCTTCAGTCATTTCGGCAAGGTATGCTGCTATCTGTCATGTATGTATAAACTTTCTTTCCCATCTTCTTCATTTCGTCCAGGTCTCATATGCAATGAATATACCGAATGCGGGCATGATTCTCTCTTTGTTATGTACTACTATGGGGTGTTGTAGTTAGTAGATAGTAGTTGATGTAAGCAAGCATGTATGTTGTCATACAGCATGACATGACTTATTTGACTGAAGGATTGTTAGCCGCGCAAGAAGCTTCCGCGAATAAGATTGCTTCGTCGAGTAGTACTACATAGTTGGACTGTGTGGTTAGGAGCTTAGAGACGGGTTGTAGGTGTGTGTGTGTGTGTGTGCCTTGCTGCTTGCAGTTCTTCATGTTCTGCTTGTTTTTCCTTTGGTGCTTTGTGGGAAGGAATATGAGGTTATTATGTGATTTTGGTTGTTATTGTTGTGGTCTTTGATTCGGTTATTCGTGTGTTTATCATACCATTACTAGTATGGCAAGTTATACTACGATACTAAACAAATGCCATTAACATCACTAGTGGTCCTCTCTAACAGAAGATCGCTTCAAGCACAAATTTAAACCTGTTTCTCTAAACGACATGACAGAATCTCCTGACAGTCACTATCCAATGAGTTTAGCATCATGGCGGTGACAGACAGATAAGCGACAACATGACAGGGGGAGAATGGGCCCCGCGATAAGGGAAGGACGGAGTCCAAAACATACTAAAGCAGCCACAATATACACCTCATTGAAGATCTCTGGATCACGACTGGTCTAAAATAAACGGATTAATTAGTACTTACTACTACTTGTCATCTCATGCGTGCTGTCTACACCGACTGAGTCAGTGGCAGGATTGACTTAGTTTTATCATCGGACAGAGGATGCATCGCATCGCGTCGCATTGCATCTGCGGGATTGACTCTTGAGTCATTGTTGATAACATAGTAGCATAACATCATCTCATCTAGTACTGTTGTGCGTTGTGCTGTGCTATGCTAATCGCGTCTAGACCGATCCCGTCCATGACGTTAATCAAAAGTAGTACTACTACTTAGTTACCCCATATCTCAAAGCAGAAATGCGGCAATGCGCGATGCGCAATGCACCTGCGCATGCTGGTGGGGAAAGCCGAAAAAAGTAGAGCTCAAAAGGGATTTGGCTAGTGACTGTGTAAGCAGCGCAGCAATAAGAAAGAAAAAAAAGAAAAGAGGAACTCCTGAATGTTATGATGTAATCTGGGGACTGGCCGTCTTCGTGAAACCACCAGCGATTGGTGCATATGTGGCGGGTCTATCTTCCTCCCCTTGACTCGGAGCAGTCGTCCAACGAATCAGAGCGAGCGTTGCCATGAATTCTATCGCACGACACTCTGTCTAAACCGAACCTATCATTTCCACTCCAGGTAACCAGGGTACTATACCCGTAGCAATCGTCAGCTCTGAAATTCCTCCAGATGGCAGGCATGAACTGTCAGCGCCCCCTCCTCCTCTCTCCCCCCAGTACCCCTGAGACAAATGACGTAACTTGTTGCTTCTTGTCTTCGAAAGAGGAAACAGATTTCTATGTTTTGGTGGTTTCGTCTGACCATGGTCGGCATGTAGATTAGGAGACCACTGCGTTCATGGACGAGCTCCGTTTGGTCGGTGCCTTAGTAGCGTTTCTGCCTTCTAGCTCTCTTCAGGTGTCTTCCAATTAGTATTGGCTGAGTATCGTGTGTAAGGAGGGTGCTAGCCCAGCTGACTAAGGTTAATTACGGGAGTGTCACTCTCGCATTCCCCAGGCCAACGACACGGCTGTTTAGGTAATAAGGTTCTGAGGAACTCCGTCCGATGTGACCCGGGGACCGACATCCCATGTTTCTGATTGGCGGGACATCATCCCAAGCAATCGGCGCCGGTCTAGCCCTACATCCCTTTACATTTCTCATACCACCCCTGTACACAGTATGATACAGTATCAGCCGTCGAGGCTCGACAAAAAGTGTAGAGTCCGATGGCTCTGGTCGGTGAGAAGAATGATATTCTCTGAGACGTAAATCTACCAAATTGTTAGTTTTATTTGCTCATGTTGACCTGCAGCGTCAAGCAGTGTGAAACCAAACCTTGTGCGTCTGTGCTTGGCGCAGGTTTGTGTCATGATTGTCCATATCCATGGTTGGCGGGTGCTTCATGGTTCGATCCTCCCCAGTAAGACCCCGTGCACGACAGAATAAGCTCCCGGCCCAGCTTTCGACTCCATTTCGACTCCATAACTGTCGCTAAGGAAGTCGGGATGTTTCACTTCCAAGCATGCATTGATAGATATTTACCCACCTCGGTCCTTTTTCTCCATGTATATGCATCCTCCACTGTCCAAGGCCAGCCAGTCAGTCAGTCAGCCCGGAACCCAGCTGCCCGCAATTATGTGTGTGATCCATCTCATCTGCCCTCTCATCCCTTTCCTATTTTGACTTTCCATGTCCCATGTCGGTATGGGATAAGGTGAGACCAATCGCAGACCGTATGAACTGATTTCAGTAAAGATGCGTTGTCAGAATAGATAGATAGGCCGTGGGAGGAGCGCTACTACCCTACCCAGGACGCGGACACCGTCAATCATATAATGACACTGGTGCCCATGTGATAACGCTTGCAGATCAATAGGCTGAATTGGTCTGGCCGAATGCCTACTTCGGCAATAGTCCGCTTTTTTTTCTTTTCTCTTAAATTAAATGTCAATTTGGTGGCTCCACTCAATGTGGACGAATTGGGGAGGAAGGTGGAAAAACCAAAAGATGCTTCTAGATACCTCTTTCTTCCAGACCCGCGACCGGATACTCGCGAGGCTGGGAAGTGAGCGGGCATAGTAACAGGAGCAGCAAAGCAGCAGCAGCAGCAGCTCCCTCGCGTATGTACAGGAAAGAGGGGAAGGAGATGCCCTTTCCTCCAAAACCGGAATTAGTGTTGTTGTGAGCTGTTGATGCTGCTGCTGTTGTTGTTGTCCTCCGCTGCCAGCCTCGGGAATGTTCCATCTCTTTCCCTTTTCCTTTTCTTTCCATGACGAGAAGGGGTGTTTGTCGGCAAAGTGTATTAGCAAGTGCCATAATTGTTGAGGTGAATATTCGGTACGCTGTGCAGAATAACCGCGGTTCACAGCCGCACCATAGATACTGAAAGAGGATATAGGTATCTAAGTAACCTAACTGTGTAGGGAGAGAAGGCATGTACTTTTACACGCACGTCCAACTCAAAAGCACCACTACTGCCACATCTGTATGGATGCCTGAGTTACCATTGGCTTGGGGATGGGTTTACAGATTTGTGGCTGATTGTTGACTGCTAAGGTACCGCCCATGGAGTGTCCCAGGCATTGTGTAGGGCTGGCCATAGCCGACGGTGCATGGCAAGTTAATGACTTTTTTCTGCATTATCATGGGGCTGTCAGTGCACTGCTCTTACTGTGTTCTGTTTCTTGGGAGGATGACGTAGGACCCGAGTTTAGTAAATGTGCCTGTTCATTGGAAAATCGGAAATCGGCTCGAACCCACTTCATTGGCGTCTTGGCCCCGGTTCCATTGTATGGACTGACGCCGTATCGTGGTCGCTTCGGTGTTAGTGATTGATGCAGGTGGTGGCGGCCTCTATACCTAGTGTGTATTATTGGTCTTGGGGCCTACTATACTCGCTAGAGTCCAGACTGCACTGGTTTCACAAGGCAGGATAACCGAGCAAAGGAGATATGATGATCCGAACGGTTGGAATGTCGAGGAACAGGTTATTATGATTGTCGGGGATTTATTGAAATGTGGCAGAAATGGTTGGGAGCCCTATACTACCTTTGCTGGCTATCTAGCACTGCTTATAACAACTAGTAAGTAGTTCTGGTGTAGTTATTGTTGTGGTATAATACAGAAACCGTAAAGTACAGCTGTATATGCGAGTGGTAATATACAGATGTAATACGACGGGATATTACTATTTACCGGATCCACACCACCCCTCACACCCTCCCCACTGATCCTGGGTCTCTTCTGGTTGAGTCCGACCCAGAAAATCATCTCGGAGACTGACCCAGAGATTAATCTACTTTTCCCAAAAGTATATTTGTGAGAATTAAAAAAAAAAAAAATAGAAAATAGGGAGAAGAAAAAAAGAATTTAGGGAAAAAGGAAAGAAAAGTGGATTTAAATAGAGGAAAAGAATAGCAGGAACCGACAGAGAAAGAAAGAGAAAGCACCGAAAGGGACAGAAGAGTTTCTGGAAGGTTTCCTCCATACCTACCTCATTTGCGCTTTTTATCACTCAACCAACCGTTATTATTGCACGTCACCACGCCTCCCATGTGGTCCCTTTTTCTCTTCTTTTATTAATAACTATCACATTCTTTCCACAAATCCTCCGATCCCAGAAAAGAACAGAAAAAAGAAATCTCTTGCTTGAATCTTTTCGGATTGCTTTGCTCCAGTTGAGAGGTACTCGGCTTCATCCTCTCAGCGTCCATATCCACCCTACATCCGCACTATTATTGGGGGCTTGTCTTACCGTCTAGTTCCAGCAGACTCCCCCAACATTCATCATCACCTTCCTCTTTTCCACACTCTCTCCTCCCCTCCTTTGGGCCCTCAAGTACTACTTCCCCTTCCTCTTTCTTTTTCTTTTTCTTTTACCCATTTATCGCCTCCCCGCTATTCCTGTACATTTTTATACGGCATACGTATCTTCTTTCTCGCCTGTCGCTTCCTCTCCTCTCCTCTTCTTCTTCTTCTTTTCTCTCTCTCCTCTTTCCTCTTCTCTCTTCCTCTCTCCCTTTGCAGTCGTCCTCATTCTCCCACCGCCGCCTCTCATATGATCTCCGAGTAAGGGGCGCATCCGCTATAAACCCAATACCTGCCAAAACCCGTTCTCGTCTTCGAATACCACTCGGACCTCTTCCCCAAATTATTCCCACCCCCTCCTCTCTTTGTCTCCGCTCCTCGCGATCCTCGATATCATCTTGAAGCCGCCCACTTTGTGGTCGCAATCCCTGCGATCGCTACCATTCCCCCCCGTTAGACCGTGATTGGGATGTGACACTTGAGCCGTTTCCGCCGCAGTTCAGAAATACCTGCTTTTTTTTTTTTTTTTTCACACTCCTAAAACGGATCGGGAAACGTATACATACATACAACCACCGCCCTTTCCTCCCCTCTCCGAATAACTTCGAGGCCCGGATCGAATAGCGCTTGGCGATCCGAATGCCACCTTCATCCTCTAACGCCGCCTTGTTTTCTCCTGGATTTCACGTCTCTCCATAAATCATCAAGCGCCGTCGAAAACCACAACGGAATAAGTAATTCACTACCTCCGACCGTGTCGATGATGTTCCGCAACAGGTACGTCGCTATACTGAATACCGATGCTGCGTTTTGCCGACGAGTCGCCCGCCATTCTCATGCTGACCGGACTACCACCCTTGCAGAAAGAATTCTCAGAAGCCAGACGACGAGCTCATCCAGAGATTCCAAAAAACCTTCTCAGACGTTGTTCCCCCAGTCACTCACCGCAATGCCACGCGCTTCGGTCAGATGCCCATTGGACCTATCACCCCAGCTAGGTAAATATGCCATTTTTCATTTACAGTATCTGCCTTTTTTTCAAACTCTCATCCTTGGTTTAACTATTTTGGAGCTTGAAGAAATCTTTGGGCGAAAGCTAACATGATATTCCTGCGCCAGACTGAGTATGAACAACGATATGAAGCTCAATGATCCTACACCCCGCGCCACGGAAGATATGCGTTTTGCAGCGCCTTTTGTCGACCCGAACGCTGTCTCTTATGTAAACCCACTACAGCCACATGGCTACTATACTCCCAACTCAGGTGGTCTGGGTGCAGTATACCACAGCCAAGCAGGAGATTTGCATACCCCTGGCATGGGTCTGAGCATGATTACTCCGCTCTCTCTCCCGCAGCAGATCTCCGCGGCGACCATCAACCCCGGTACTGCAGCTTTGGGCCTCGATCACTTCGACCAGCAGTACATTCCGCCACACTTCCATAACCCCCAACCGTTTGCTCAGCAGCCAGCATTTGCGCCCGGTGCTTTCGTTCAGAGTGATGCAGGTTACGATGCCATGGACGAATCTGTTGAAGAACTTTCTCTAAATGATGTGGATATGCAGGGTAATGCGTCTTCTCACTACGTTACATCAACAATCCAGGATGATCAAGCGAGCATCCACAACCCAGGTGAAACGTGAGCGCTCCACCCTTTTCATAATGTTTGTTCGATCGCTAACCGTGCTGGACGGTCCAGGTTTCGCTATCATGTCACTTTGCGCGCTCCCACAGCCATGATCAACCATCAAGCCGAGATCCCAGTCACATATCTCAATAAAGGCCAGGCATACTCAGTATCCGTGATTGATTCTACTCCGCCGCCCATGACCACGCAACCGATCAAATATCGTACCTTCATCCGTGTGTCGTTCCAGGAAGATGAGCAGAGGGCAAAGCCAGCTGCTTGTTGGCAATTATGGAAGGAAGGTCGGGGTTCCAATGAAGCGCATCAACGAGGCGGAAAGCTCCAAGCAGTGGAATATGTCGATCCCATACAAGGCGGCATTGAAGACACGAAGAACCGGCAAATCCAGCTCGAGAGCTCATCGTTCGATGGTTTCTGCGTCACCTGGACACTCAACCCGTCAACCGGAGTTTCGGAATGCTCGATTCCGGTTCGATTCAACTTTCTGTCGACGGACTTTAGCCATTCCAAGGGTGTAAAGGGTATTCCGGTCAGATTGTGCGCAAAGACCGAGATGGTCACTCCTGACGATACGAGCTCAACTTCGGGCAAAGAATCGGAGGTGTGCTACTGCAAGGTCAAGCTTTTCCGCGACCATGGTGCTGAGCGGAAGCTGTCCAACGACGTCGCTCATGTCAAGAAGACCATCGAGAAACTTCGACAACAGATTGCTCAAGCCGAGATGGGCGCCGGTAACTACGGGAAGCGCAAGCGTAGCAATGGCTCCATTGCTCTCAAGGGTGCCGATCCACGCCCGGCCAAAATCACCAAGCACAAACGGACATGGTCTATGGGCTCGCAGGACGGCCCTGGCAAGATGTCTTTGGAGGACGATCTCCATGCGAAGCTCGCGTTGATGCAAGACATGTTCACGTCAACGCGACCGGTAAGCATTCTGGGATTGCGGGGTGAGGAGCAAGACGACCCGGACTTGTTCCCTGTCATGCTCCCCGAGTCGCGGGAATTCCTCAAACGGGAGAACAGCCGTGGATCCCGCTTCAGTATTGATGGCGCATCCCTGCATGCCGTTTCGCCCACCAGCAGTAGCATCTCAATAAACTCGCCATGCCACCCGACCAACCTCCAGTCGAACATGTTCTATGACTCGGCGTACCATGGATCCCTGAGCACGTCTCGAGAGAACTCGCGCCCGTGCTCTGAAGTCCTGGGCGACAAGGTCACACTAAAGCATCCCGTCAAAGTACCGAAAGTGGCTTCGACTGACGGTAGCGCGCCCATGGGATTCATAGAGGCGGTAGACATTGACCCAACTTACCGACCCCCCACGGAGCGTCCAGTAAAGCCAAGTAAGTTAAGCTTGTAACCCTTAAAAAGTTGCGCGAACTGACCCAGTCCTAGTCGCGTGCTTCTACGTACGATTCCCACGCAACGATCAGCGTTCGGATGACTATTACCGGGCCGTCTATCTGACTGAACGGACGGTTCGCGATCTAATGGAGAAGATCTCCATGAAGCAGCGCATCGACCCTCAGCGCATTGTACGAGTCCTCCACGTCAAGCAAAACGGCCTAAAAATAATGGTGGATGATGATGTCGTTCGCGAGCTCCCAGACGGCCAAGACATGGTTGTCGAGATTTCCGAGGCGTCATCATTTGAGACCGCAGCAGCTACGGGATCGGGAAACATCAGTCCAGCCGTCGAGGTCAAATTGAGCTACTAATCCTGCCGCTCGGCAAATCACGACGCTCTTTTCGTCCTTCGTCACTCGTAAACTTCACTTCGTCTGACTTCTTTGTCTCAACCCTCAACAGGGGGCTTTCTTTCTTTCGGTTCGGAATTCAGTCTTTTCAGTCTTTTCGGCGCCTGGTGCGTGGCATGAGGTACGCTTGTTCGCATACATTACTCAAGCGCATGCCTCATATTCGGAGTTTGGGATTGCTTGCATCAATCTACGGGGCGTTCGTTGGATAGGGAATAATACACGAGTTCCCGAGCAATGATACCCTGTCGCCATATACGTGCTTTGTTTGTTGTCTTTTTCTTTGTGTGTTATATCATTGACGATATCCTAAATTTTTCCTTGTCGGCAATGTCGTCTGGGTTTGGGCATACACGGCCCCGGCAATGGTTCGATTTCTCTTGATGACATTATTTGGTTTGTAATTTCGAGGATCTGGTTGAGGTACGAGGAATACGATAGATACCCTGTCCATTCTTGTCGGAATTACTTCACTGCTGCTGTTGCGTTTCTTTATTTTCTTTTCACACCGGCATACTGAGATGGTTTCACTATCTCTTCCCTCTTGGATGGCCTGGGTGTTTCCGTTATCGGATGGGCTATGTACTGGCTCCTCCTGTTATGATCCAAGCTTCAGCGTCTACGCAGCACAGAATGATGTCTTGACTTGTTTCGTGTACGCTGTGATGGGTCCCGCGTGGCAGACCTGCCTATACTTCGGACCCATGAAGATGAACGGGTTTGAAGCTGCTATTCATGTTACATCAAAAGCACTAGGTTGGATATACGACAGACCCGTGCAATAGAGAGGTTATAATATCTGGAACAGATTTCCATTGTATCTCCGTAAGATATCCGAGCATAGTCCGAGACTCGCCACCCATCTCCAAGAATAGTATAGTACACAGTAACTGAAGATCACCACATGGAACCATGTCACAAAGGTAGGGAGGGACGAGAACTGAATCTCCGAGGACGAGAGACTCGAAAGAGAGAGTAAAGCACAGACCCCGAACGTAGTTCCATTGGCGAGGAAAATGGATCCCAGCCAACAATTACATCATAACCGACGCTGGGCTTGACAGTTACGTAGATAGACTACTTTTACTGTGGATATGGGATCAGAATAAAATGAACAATAAGGAAGGTGACCCATGGGATCTTCTGTGGGCCACCAGTCTACAAAGTAGTAAGGTAGCCGACAGGCCGCGCTAAAAGGTCACTGGTAGTAAGTAGGGCCCTCTTTTCCTCCTCCGGCAACGCTCGGCGCACACCCACGGAAAAACACACCACATAATATTACTGGCGGATGTCAGATCCGCCCCCACTGACTCTCGAATGGCTCCGGAATCATCTTTACCGTTTCGGTTTGAATTGATTTGATTTTTTTTTTTTTTTTTCTTTTCATTTTAAAGTGGGGTGTGGCTTTTTTTTTTCTTCTTCTTCTTTTCTCAGTAAAATGGATGGTAACTATGGTCCCTGCTACTACTAGCTCTTAGCTACATCGTCATTATTCTCGCTATGTTCCACTAAAATCTCCTCCTCATCCTCATTCCCATGGTATCTATATTCGTTGGGGTTAGTTTGTGTGCGTGTGTATCTGCCGAGCATCTACCCGTCCCTTTTTTCTTCCTTTCTTTTTTTTTTCCTCCGAAGCGTGCCTTATACCCTTTTCGGGCAGGGTGTTCTTTGTTTCGTTGAGAGGAAAGAGAGGGGGGTGGTCAGTCACCTGTCGCACATGCTTACCTTTTGCGGCCCTCCCTCCTCCACAACCCCCCCTTGCTACTACGTATGCTATTGCCTTATGCGGAGATGAGTTCCCGATCGGGTATATGGTTGGGTTTTAGGAACTACTCCGTTCATTTCATCTACTCCGTACATACTCCAGTTTTATGGTACCCATCTATGCCATTGTTTGAGTGTAGATTTGGAGATCGAGTTCGAGGTGAAGTAATAGGAGATGGTTTTGCTGGAGGTGTTTTGGTAAGGTGTATGTATGTATGTATTGATTGGGGTATTTCTGTATGAATTGTAAGGATGGATGTATGTACGTAAGTATGTATGTATTGATCGGAGTACATGGATTTGTTTGCTGCATAGATAGATAACTAACTATCTAACTAACTACTTGACTAGCTGGCTTGTGGCTGTCGTGTATATGTAGTATAAGACTGGGCTGGCGCCATGGCGCTGCGGGTGGTGCCTCTGGTGGCTGGCCCCGTCGAGGTGCATAAGTACATACTAGTTAGTTTATGGGATGTATAATTTGCGGTATTATTATATTATATTGTATCATTTAATTCTAATGTTGGTGGATGAGGGAATGGTTTTAGGGGCGGCCTTACTACTTAGAAGTTATTTGGTATTTGGATTAATATGAAGAAGTAAATAAATGTATGTATAGTGGTGATGGTATTATGCTTTCTTTCATGTTGGTATTCTGCAAGGGTACCTGAACGGAAGCCACCAATGGAAACAGAGCGCAAAAGTAAAAATGGTATCGAGAAGATAAGACAGTAGTAACTGATCACCGAGCAGTTTGTTTGTACAACGTGGTCTAAGTCAGGGGGTTCTGTAGCCATGGTTCTAGACTCGCGGTATGTCTCAACGATAATGACAATTTAACTTTTTGGTTTCTGTTCATTGCAAGCGCTATCGGGGGGATCGGTAACAACTCATCAACTTTGTACAAAGTAACTGTGATATGCTTTTAGGCTTATCTAGCCGCCGTTGGGCAATGACGTCTGTGGGAGATAGATTGGTGGTTCTGGCTGATCCATTTCTCCCTTTGCAGAAACCTTGTCCTGAGATCTTCGACCAATCGTTTCAGTTGCATTTGGGGGCCTGCCGATCTCGTGGGAAGTGGGGAATAAAAGGGAAGGGAAAAGGAACGAGAGGCTCTCCGTTTCGCCGACTCGGTGTTTGAGCTTTTCCTTAATATTCTGACCTTTTTTCTTATTTGCCTCCGCAGTTTCTAATTTGGTTGTGTTTATGGGGTAGGTTCGGGATATGTGTTCTGCAACGGGGTTTGAACAGAAATGGCGCCATACTGATTTGTTGGAATTAAATCGAAAGAGGTGGAAAAGTGTAGTGCTCCCTCCCTACATGACACGGTTGTTAGCATCTCCCTTTCTTTGTAGTGACTGTAAGTCAAGGCCAGCAGAAAATGCATCCTCACGCAGTAGTTCGTGGGTGAATGCGGATGACAGGTCCAGACTCGGGCCGACTCACGCAGCCCCAGCCCAGCCCAGGGCGAGTCGCGATGGCAATCGGGAAAGGGAACAACGCAGATGACATCATGGCTCTCAACGCATCGGATCGGGGATCGGACTGGTACCTTGCAATGTCGTCATAGCTCAAGAGAGTTCCTTGGAAAGGAGCGGCTGGCCATCAGTCGCTTTTTGCTGGTTGGCGCCTCCACGCGGGTCGTGCCGATGTGGGGTCTCTATCTGTCGCTGTAATTTTCGCTAGTTTTGACACCAGAAACCGTTACTGAATTACGCTTGTCCATTCCATACCAACCATACCGCAGTATTCCATACGGGAAACAACACCCGCTAGGGTAAATTTCCAGTGATGCTGTGGATAGGAGGCCCTGAACTCAACATCACATGGTGCGCAAACACGAACTTTGATGATTCTGAAGGCTCCAGTGTGGACTGCCAAATATATATAGCGGGTATGGTTGGCACGTGGATGTCAGAATATTATTCTGATACTAGGATTGCATGGTCAACTGACAGTTGAGATCGGGTATCATCCATATCGGCTCCCTTGCCGGAGTAGTACAAGATCCTCCACGGGTATAATAATTTCAACTTTCCAGATCTCAATACGAACACATCTCTGCACGGTGCAGGGATTGCCATCTAGTAGCCGTTAGTATGAGGATCACTGCAGGATCGATTCGCTTTTAAGGTTGCCTCTAAACATGCCTAAAGGAAGCTCGGAGGGCAGAACGGCTCGAGATCAAGGGCAAAATTTGCCACTGAGATCCTCCATGATCCAGTTTTCTGTTTCTCGATGGCAGAGACTGATTGGTCGATCTGAGACATCGGTATCTGATGGCTTGCGGTGTGGCTTATTCGGGAATAACCTCATGTTAGAGCTCGTCGGGATCAAGCTTGGCTGGTCTAGCTTGTGGTCAAGAGGGTTTAGGACGACAATCATTGGCTCCTATGTATAGGGAGACAGCTTAATAGGGGTCAGTAATGGTGGGCTCATTGTTTCTCGTGTGGATGGAGGAATTTTGAGGGTGGGACCTGGCGTAGTTCGTCTCCGGCTGCCGATGGCTTACCCCGTATGCATCAATAGAGTACCGGCTTTGCATGGATGTTCCTTTGACACCTAAACTTCCATGGAGGTATTCTAGAAGAATTAGCTTCTATAATTATGACTTAACAAAGACTCGGAAGTTCAACTCCGAGCCCTTAGCGTAGTGCATAACAGTGAAAACACGTGGATATCAGACCCCATAAACGCCACCATCTTATCATGCGTGATCGAGCCCTATGTGAATTATTGTGCAGACACTACCACCATACGCACCTCTATCCCTCCCGTATAGCACCGTTTCCTATCTTCAATTGTTGGTCATCGGTGCCTACACTGACTGCTCTTGCCGTATTGGTAATGTCGTCGTCGCACTTTCCAAAACGACACCATTCGCCCCGGCGACACAACCCTGTCAACACACACAACACGTTCGAATTCTTTTTATCTTTCTCCTCAAATCCTTTTCTTCTTCTTCTCCTTCTTCACCTCTTTTCTTCTCTCCCAACTCTCTCCCCAGTCGTCCACCCGTCCTCCTTCCGTCTTTCCCCAGTCTTTCTATCAAGGTTCCATCATCAAGAATCCTGAACTTCATCAACTCTTCGTCTAGTTCCTGTTCTTTTCTACTCAAAGAATCTTTGCTTCAAAGCGTTGTATTCTAAGATCAAAAATGAACGTGAACTACCTGATCATCCTTGCCATCTGGCTCCTCGCCAGTATCGGCTGCAGTGCTAGTAGGTACTACACTCCAACTGTCTTCTTCATGCTGCTAACGCTCTTAGATATCGCCGATGATCTTGTGCGTGTTTACTATGAGATGACTGAGGCTGCCTTCGCTCGTAAGTATTACTCAGATGGTAGCTGGGGGTTCTATATACTGACCAGGCTTGGACAATAATATAGCTCACCACGCGGTCATCGTCCCTAAGTCCAACAATCGTAGGCCCAAGCCCAACAAGGCCGAGGGAGTTGGCAAAACCCGTAACGATGGTAAGCCTGGAGGACCTCCTGATAAGAAACTTGAGTACTAATTAGCTCTAGACATCTTGACCGTGACTATCTGCGAGACGGAGACTCCAGTGGCTCCCACCGTCGGAACCCTATCCCTCCCTACAGTCGTCACCGCGCCTACCTTGATTCCGACTGTTGTCGTGACGGGTGTTCCAACTATGACTAGTGTTGCCACTGAGGTTCCTTCGGGACTTACTACTGAAGTTCCTGTTGGAAACCCAACCGAGGTCCCTACCGGTCAATCTCACGTCAACTCTGATACCACTTTTGTGTCAGTCACCAGGTCTGTGGCCACTGGACATTCATCCGTCATGACTGGAATTCAGACTGTCCCTGACACCACTGTGCCCCATCCTACCTCGTCCGGGACTCATAGTGCTCCCAGTGATGAGAATGATTCTATCATTTCTTCAGTTAGTTCTGGAGAGCAGCATGGAAATCACACAGTCAGCACTGATACCACTGCATCGACTGGCACCCGCACTCATGCGCACCCCTCGTTCCCCACCACCAACGAGGCCAATGACTATGAGGGCATGGCGTCGTCCGCCTTTGCGTTGGCAGTTGCCTTGGCTTTTAGTCTCGTGCGTATCTGAAGATGTTTCTTTCGCTTACCAGCAGTTCTTTGAAATTCGTTCCCAGCTGAGCTGTGTACGATGACCTGGTGGTGTTGAACTTAATCTTCAGATGAAGCGTGCTTCTTTCTTTCTCTGTTTCTTTCATTTTATTTGCTCTAACGTTATGTCGAGATGCGCCTCACAAGAGGTTGCCATTTGAATTCCTCAACGGAGTGTTGTAACTAATATCGCGGCAAGATACCGCTTGATCTAATTCAAAGCCTTACGGGCCTTAACACTTGTCTCAATTGCGCAGTAGATTATTGCTACCATGGGTATCTCCTAAAGACTAAACATACACCCATCCAGGCGAACTATGTGACATGTAGTGAAACTGTCCGTGGTTACAGCCCCACACTGGTAGAATGACAGGGTCATCATTCAACTGCTCCCTTCAACAAATGAATACCTGCAATCCCATCAGCACTCATACCTTCCAGAAATGCAAAGCATCCTCACCATCAAAATAAAAATACTAAAGCCAATCCCCTTTCTTCAAGTCGCCACACAAAGCAGCCGACGAATCTACATTCCCGCCCGAAGCAAAGCTACAGTACCCCCCTCCCCAGAGTACCCATCCAAAAGCCACACTCACAAACTCACAGCAGAAAAGTATACCTACGACTCTGAATCCCCAATCGCCTCCAACTCCTTCGCCAACGCACAAATCCTACACCCATCACCGATCCTATCCCTCAACAACCGCGCAGTGGTCACCTTAGGTCCGACCGTGCGCGATGCACTCATCGATACTTCATCCAGCGTCTGTCCGGGCGCAGGCGAAAACGGCCGAGGTGTCTGCACCGCAGAGCGAGTATACGGCGTGCTTGTGGCTGAGGGATTTTCTGATGTTGCGTGGATGTGCGAGAGGTGGAAAATGTGGCCGCAGGCGAAGCCGACGAGGATTTCTTTCTCTGTGGATCCATAAATGAGTAATGTTTTCGGGAAGTATTGAAGAGGTGAGGGGGGGGTTTACCGTTGGCGCGGAACGGGTGATGACAGCCTGCGCATCTACCTGCCTGGGAGGCGGTGGTTGAGGATGTTGCGGTGAAAGAGGTCTTTTCTGTGTCGGCGTCGCTTTTGACTGCTTTGTTGTTGGCGGTGGTGGTGTCCTTTTCGGTTGCTTCGGTGGCAGTGGTGGTGGTGGGAGTGCCAGGAATGGATCTTTCCTCTTCGACGATATTGAACTTGATGCCGCGGCGTTGGCCGCGTCGGAGCGTGTCCATGCCTACTGCTACTTCGCTTTGGAGCACTTTGGCGGCTCCTTGGCTTATGCTGGCTTGGAGGTCGTGTTCACGGATCATTCGTGTGAGACCTTCTCGGAGGCCTTCGATTTCTAGGCCGCTTGGGATCCTGCGTACGAGTTTGATCGGGTCGATGGAAGTTCCGGCTTCGACGAGGAGACCGTGAATGAAACGCGGCTTGTCCATGGAGTAGTCGAGGAGGTCTTCCCAGAGGTCGGGCTCGTTTTGGGACTTGGCAAATTGGATGGCTTGTGAGACATCCTTGAGGTCGGAGAGAATCAGGTTGAGGGCGCGTTTAGTTTGTCCCGTTTTCGAGAGGAGGTAGATAAGCTCTGGAGTGAAGTGGCGCCCTTCGCAGATGCTGACGGCCATGTCGAAGGAGTAGGAGGTGCTGGTTTGAAGGAATTCCATCAGCAGGGGCCGGTTGTAGTCTGCGAAGAGTTCTACGGCTAGTTCGGCGAAATTGTCGACTAGTGCTTTGCCTTCGTCGGCAGCGAGCTTGCTGGCTGCGTCTCGGATGTGGGCGAAGTGGCCGCGGCGAGGTTTTGCGGCGCCGTGAGGCAGTGATTCGCCGCGCCACAGGGCCCGCATGTAGAAGTAGAGATATAGGAGTTTGTTGGCTGCTTGGAGTTGATCGACCACAATTTCAGGCCGGACGATGCCTGTGTAGGCTTCGCTGACTAGGAGCCTGATGGGCTCTGCGGTGAGCTCTTCGAGTTCCTCGACGGGCGCTGATCTCAGCTGTTCCTTGGAGACGCGGATGAGGATGAACGCGGGGATATCGTCGGTGAGGGTGTCTAGCAGTCGGTGGTCCTTGATCAGGGCCATCGCTGTGTCGGCGTCTTGGAGGCGAATATAGCAGTGCAGTGCTTTGCCGTAGTGACCTCCTGCGAGGTACAGTTTGGCAAGACACCTTGTCAGGACTCGCCAGTCCTCTGTGTCCGGGATTACCGAGTCATATCTCAGTTGCTCCTCAATTCCCGTTGCGACATTATTGGCGTCAAAGAGGTCGAAAGGCCAGGAGTCCAGAAGATCGCTGAACCTTGACCTGTTGTGCTCGACATAGTGCCCCAAGATGGTCTCGTAGATGTTTGCGGGGAGACTGGGGCGCAAGTTGACAGGCATGACGGACGAGATCTCGTCCAGCTTATCGTGCTTAATGAAAGTCCAAGCCCAATGCTCCCACCTGCTCGCGGTATCAATTGCTTTCACGCAAACTTCAGCGGCCTCCGCCCATTTGTTCTCATCAACAAGTTGCTCGATCCACAACTCGCCAATGCGGCGCTTTTCCTGCTCGACAGCAGGAGTAGAAGCAATGTTCCGGCCAGTGGTTGTGATGGAAGACCTATCGTCAATGAAGGATTCGCCAACGCTACTGCTCTGCGATCTTGACGGCGTCTCCGGAATTTGCTCGTTCACGTCAGTCGTCGACCCCGCCGCCTCAGGATGCTCCTGGAGAAGCATCCATGCCTCTTCATACCTCTCATGCGCGTCTAGCCAGGCTAGGCGATCAGACAGGTCTCTCTTCAGGGCAGCAACGCAGTCATATGGACTGTGGACGAAGATTTTGGGCCCCACGCTCCCTGCAATGTCCTGGATTTCTTTGGAAAGGGGTTCCTCATAAGAAAACCTTCGAGAGGCAAAGGTGCTCGGCGCGCGGCTGGATCCCTTGTCACTGCTCGTTGTACTGCGAATGCTAGCGGCGGAGTTGAATAGACGTGCCGGGTAGAGCGTTGCATCCCAGAGACCGTTCCCCAAAGCTTCTAGGGCGCCACGTTGCGAAACAGGAGCGCTAGATTTCCAAGGAGGCAGAACGCACATGTGATAGTCAGATGAAGTGAGGGTCTCGTAACGACTGGTTGAAAGGGTATCAGCACTAAGCTCCTCCTTTGTTTCAATATCGATAATCCGCAGTTCAGGCTCCAAGCCCGTTGGCCGGCGGCGCGTTCCCGGACGGCGACCTCCTAGCTTGGTCCGCTCTTCCGAGACGTCTTCTTCCGCCTCAATGTACGCAAGGACGGCCAGTAGACTAGGAGTATATAGCGAGATGCCAGATATAACGCAGTCGGTCCGCAAGATTGTCGAAACCTCAACAGATCCGATCTTCAGGTCCCTGTTATTCTTGCTGGGTCTATCCGGGTATACGTCAATGACCCAAACCGTGCCTCCCCAGCCAACTACCAACTTCTCCACCTTTTCCCTGACAATAGTCGACTGGGCTGCAGACGATCCTCCTTGACTGTTTGAACCGATGTCGGTGGTCAATGATTTTTCGTCTACCCACTCAGCACGAGCCTTCCAGACTCCCGCCATTTCCTCCCAGCCTGGAAGGTTAGGCCGGTCAATGTGGCTGATTCGCTTCCAGGCAAGCTCAGAATCGGAAGAATCGAGGTACAAGTTCGATCGCATAATTTTGATGCCCTCTTCGTTGACCCAGACGACGTACTTCCCAGACAAAGACCACTTGATCGTACTGATGGCGCCCTCCCCACTGTGAAGGATAGTGTCCTTGCCGGTGTTGGCTCCCAGCCCCAAAGATCCGAGCCAACTCGAAGCCGTAGCCGCAGCACCTCCCATTGTTGTGGAATTCGTGCTAGCACCAACTCTTCCGCCCACTGTAAGTATCAGGTCGCCTGCACGTCCTCCGGACAGAAACGCCCTGTCACTTTTATACTCTGGTGAGAGCGCGACAGCCTGCACGGGCCGGCCAAAATTCCGCAAGAGAACGTCTTTGGAGTCAACTAATGATGCAACACAGACATTTCCGTCCATAGAAGATGTGGCAATGTATATCGAGTTGGATGGCGTGGCAGGTAGGCTTTGCTGGTGAGCTGGTCGATGCCGGCCGCGGAGGCTAGCTGTGCCGGACGACGGCCGCGCCGAATATTCCTGGTCTTCGGGGACTCTGCTGAAGTACTCTTGCCTGAGACTGGGCAACGGAGGAGGGAACGGAGATATTGAGATCGAGGTAATACTGGCGGAGTGCGCATGGTAGACGCGAAGAGAGCGCATTTGAGGAACGGATAGTACATGCTGGTCGGCGTCAGTTCTCCAATCATTCGAAGCGGCAACAGCGCTACTTACAATGTTTCCATTATGCGTTCCAATTACCTAGACACTATCTCAGCATCATGCGCCTTCTAGGAAATGCCTGGATACCATACCATCTTGTCCCCAGCCGCGAGAAAGGAGCTTGTTGCATCTCCATTGCGATACACCGCCCCCAGGTGTTTGGTCAAGTATGCATACTTGAGCCGGGGCTCCTCGTCCTCTTCGTCATCACTCTCCCCCTCTGTTCCGTCCTCGTCGTGTTCTTTGTCAATATCATCGCCTTCACTCTGGGTCCCATTGTGGCTGTCTTCCTCGTCATTGACCCGGTCGGACCGCCCGCTGTCCGGGTATGTATTGTCGCCCACGTTATTGGAATCCGAGTCCCGGCGGTCCTGAGGGACACTCTCGTTTGCCTGCGTCGCGCCAGGCGCATCCATGGCGAGAGCAGGAGGCTAGTATCAAAGGTGTGAAATATTGGTGCAGACAATGGGCAGCTTCATGGCACCCATCGGCCGAGCAGAAGCACAGCTAGACGGAGCTGGGGTAGATAACCAACAGTTACTTACTGCCGGCGGTCGGGCGAGCTTCATTGAGGGTCGTCACCGCATCCAGCTAGGGCCCTGCTGACTCATCCATGCCCCATCCCGGCTTTCTTTTCTGCTGCAAGACTCATCGAATAAAGAAAGCTTCAGATGATTTCTCCGGATCTGAACGTGCCTCGTTATGGCATCGCTTTCTCTTGGTAATATTCTACGGCTGAAATTGGCGCTTGGTTGAGTTCCTTTCCCCTTAGTTTTCTATACAGCCCATGAGAGATCATGTTCGCAAGACCACGTCTCTGCACTCTTTCGTCACGGCCATCGGCTGTCAAGTTTCTCAGACAGCCCCGAAGTCAATATCTTCACGCTACCCCTCCATTGAGCTATCCCCGGCGAAAAGACTTCTTCTCATCCAATGCATATCTCTATCAGAAGCAAATGAAAAATGGCGACACGACCGACGAAGCGGTTCTAGAATCCCAGAAACAAAGGAGAAGAAGCAATAGGTCGCCGGCCGCATCGACGTCACTCCGGAGAGTTGCAGTGGAGGCACAACGGTCGAAGGATGGAATGTTATCCAAAGCCCAGCTCAGGGAGCAGGGGCTCTATCAGCCCAAGGTGCCACTGTCAAGAGCCACGACCGTCCTTGAATAATTGCTAATCTATCAATGAGAAGACCGTAACAGCATATGCCGTAGCTGAACAGTTCAATATACGCAAAGTCAGAGACATCCTACAGGAGCGAGGCTACGAGCCGGACCCCTACGAGACGGGTCTGTATCCACAAGTTGTCCACATTGAGGTTCCTCTAGACTCAATCCGCCGCCAGAGCAATCCCAACACCTTAGATCTGTCACCGAGCGAAGTGGGGGATGTGTTTGTCTTTCCCTCGGGAACCGTGGTCGCATGGGCACTACCTGAAGGATTTACTTCCTTTTTGGCAACCAGGACATTGTTACCTGCAGCTGAGGGGGCCCATCTTGACGACTTGGAAACGGAGGACCTTGAGTATGTTGAAGATTCTCAACGAGAGAATAGCAGCATCAAGGGCGACACCATCATCCTGGGGACTAAGCCGGGTAATGACGGGCCTAGTTCCCACTTACCCGCTCGGCAGTCTGTAGATACGGTACTTACAAAGGTGGCATTCTCGTCAGGGCTGGCTCGCAGTACAAAATTAGCTGTATTGGAATCTCTCCTGGCCAATTACTTTGAGTCTACTCGACCTATTCCCACGCTCCTATCCAAGGGCTCACGTCTCCCTTTCACTCGGGACTTCATTCTTCGCAAGACGGGTCAGCTGCTCAGTGTGCGTGCGCAGCTGAACTTGTACTCGGAGCTCACCGACTCCCTGCCAGATATCTTTTGGGACAGTCGGCATGAGCTGGGATTAGAAGGGTACTATGAACAGGTAGGACGAGCGCTCGATGTGGGGATCCGTATCAAGCTCTTGAACGAGAAGATGGATTATGCGCAGGAAATCGCAAGCGTACTTCGCGAAAGGCTGAGCGAAACGCATGGACTCCGCCTCGAGTGGATTATCATCTTACTCATTGCTGTCGAGGTAGGATTTGAGGTCCTTCGGCTGTGGAAAGAGCGCGTCCACGAACAAGAGGCGAAGAAGGAGCAGATTACTGGACACTAAATCTCGACTGTAACCACCATCTCTACTCATGTACATACTCATCTCATGGAGTTTTTCGAATATGATACCCCAGGCGTTGTCCAATTTCCGATATGCATGCATTATTAGGTCACGATAAGAAAAGCTTCAAGTCAATCCGGGGAGATCGACGATAGGGTGCTTATCGGACCAGTCACATCACATACCGCTGACTCAGGTACGGGGGCCAAGTCATGGGATGGATGCACGTGCTGCTGCTGTTGGGACTCAATCATTCGCCTCTTTCCTCTCTTCCCCCTTTGTCTTCCACTGCTCTGCCAATTGATGCTTCGTTGAGAGTTGCATACTTGTCTTTACTTTGTATTGTCTGCTCTATTTCCTTGCTGAGCATCAACAACAACCGTCAGAACCCCATGCTTGATACCGGTAGCACTAGTGCGGTCGGGTCCACCGCCATCTCCATGAGGGACCGACTGCTTCAGAGTGTCCCAGGACCTCAACAGGTCTTGAAAGCTATAACGGGAACTCTAGGTGTCTCGTCGCTCTCGATTTCAGATTATAGTTCGTCCGAAGCAACCTTCCGGCAATGTCCTTCCTCCGAAGTGAGCTGCAAGGCTCAGTACCATGGCCAGGATACCTGCTGCTTCAACTACCCCGGCGGACAGATGCTCCAGACGCAGTTCTGGGATGCTGATCCCGCCATTGGGCCAGCAGATTCCTGGACTATTCATGGACTTTGGTAGGTTAATTCCTGTCCTTTTTCACCAATCCATGACCGTCATGTATTATAATGATTGCCACCCGGCACTGACCTTTGTTCTCCGCTACATAGGCCCGACCACTGCAATGGCGGCTTCGATCAGTACTGCGACTCCGGGAGACGTTACAGCAACATTTCGCTGATTCTAGTCGACTCTGGCCGTGGAGATCTACTAGACTATATGAGCGATTTCTGGAAAGACTTCAGGGGCGATGATGCGAATCTCTGGGAACATGAGTGGAACAAGCACGGCACTTGTGTCAGCACGCTAGAAACTCACTGCTACACCGACTACTACCCACAGCAAGAGGTTGTGGACTACTTCGACCGGACAGTCGAAGTCTTCCGAACCCTGCCCACCTACGAGGTCTGTCTCCCTGCCTTCATTGAAGAGAAAGGAAACTAAACTTCTGGCCGTTCAGACCCTCGCCAAAGCCGGCATTACTCCCTCGTACACCCAGACCTACACTCGCGATGAGATTGTCAATGCTCTCTCCAAGGCCCATGGTGCCGAGGTGACTGTCCGATGCCGACACCAGGCTATCAACGAAGTCTGGTACTACTTCAACATTGCCGGGCCACTGCAGACGGGCAAATTCGTCCCATCTGACCCAGGTCAGCAAATCAACCACCTCACCACCCAAATAGCTGAAACTAATAGCTACAACAGATGGCCAAACATCCAACTGCCCCCGCAGCGGCATCCACTACATTCCCAAGACTCCCCGAAACGGTCACGAGCCCACCAAGACATCCCGCGGACCTGCTGAGCCGACCGCACCGAGCGCTCCCTTTTCAGGAAAAGGGAACCTGATGATCTCAACGAACGGCCAGAAGCGAGGCTGCATCATCAGCCACGGCGCATGGTTCACCTCGGGAACCTGTGCGACATTCACGGCCAATAAGGCGTCTGGTATGTATTCCCCGCGATGTTTCCCCCCATCTGGTGGGCAGTCACTCACTAACGGCCCTTCTTGACATCGCAGATGACACTGTCACCCTGAAATCCAGCAAGGGGGACTGCGGGTTCTCGCATGATGTTTTCACCTGCGGCGGATTCATCAGGTCCCCGACTCAGTTTACTGTAAGCATCCCGGCCCATCCCTTCTAAAATACACGTGCACCTCACCAAAAACACCTGATGTAGCCTTTGACTAACCCCTTCCAGGTCGAAGACGGCATGCTCGCCTACAATGACAACACGACCTTCTTCGCAGATAAGGCACCCAAAGGGCCAACGAAGAGCAAAGTCTTCGCGACGCAAGACGACCATCCTCTCGAGCTCTCCATTACATGGAGAGAGGCATGATCCCATTTCTTTTCTCATTCTCTTCTCGGTCCATTTGCCATATACAACATTTAAACGCACATAGAATCATACATGTTTTCATATTTTTTTGCATTCCTGGCTTACTATACAACCATACACACTGTTAACTAGTACTACCTATATTCTGAATTAAACAAACCTTTAGAAATATACAAAGAAACACAGCAATCCATTCAAGCATCATTGACATTCATGGGGAGTCAGTCAGTTCTATCATAAAGCTAAAGTACAGGCGAGGAGGGAAAGCGCCATGCGAAAACCACCAAGACAAAATTGATGATAGCAGGGTAAGTAGGTAGGCGATTAAGTAAATTCGTCAGCAACCAAACCAAAGGAGAGTATCAAAAATGACTTTTGTTTTGCAATGCCAGCCAGTAGAACAAAGATGCAATAGTAGCATAAAAGATGAAGTGAAGATAGAAGTTTTTACAGATCAACCCGTTCGTCCGTTTCGTTCACATATCACAATCCATCAGCAGTTTAAAGCAAATCCAAATGACACAAGGAAATAAAAAAACAACAAAATCAGATTCAATAACATAGCATAACATCATAAAAGGGTTCATCAGGAGACAAAGAAAAGACGTTACAAACATTCATCAAGATCAATCAACACGTAAAGAGTCAGATAAAATAAAGAAAAGAACGGACGACCTGTAAAAACTCCATAATTTGACTGGCCAGAAAACATAGAAAAGTCATTTTATCTTGCAAACACAAAAAACTCCCAAGATATTGCAGATAAATCCCGGGGTTCAGAATGGTGGTTGGTTGGTGGTCGTACATGGTGTCGTTGCGCGAGATAACAAAAGAATCAAATGCAGGTAGCGCCAAGGAGAAAAAGCAGAAAGTTCAAATGCCCGAAAACAATATTTCTTTTTGGAAACGTTGTTCTTGTTGTTGTCACAGTTCATCAGTTTGCAGTGGATAAAATTGGTCGTTGAAATGAGTTTGGTCGTAGAAGTGAAGTGAGGGAGGGAAATTGTACATGGTTCTCGTGTCGTAGTGTAAAAAAAGAAGAAAAGGCATAAAAATCATTTCGCGTCTTATATGCATGGGTTCCAAATCATTTGCGGTCCTAAATCGTTAAAAGTCTTGCACATAGGCTGGTAAGCCTCAGTCGTTGCATCGTCAAAATTCGCCGGTCGTTTGATGTTTTTCGTTTTCCGTGTCATCTTTCTTGTCGGTCGTTAATTGGGTTCTTGTTCCGTTATGGTCGTTTCTCTTTAATCCATGAAGAATTCTTTGGTCATAACATCTGAGGCTTGTTCGTCCACTTGAAATTGGAAGAAGAAGTCGTCGGCCATGACGGGGCCCGAGGAGAAGGGCTTGTTGGGGAACAGTTCCAGACCACCTTCAAAGGACGTCGTGTTCACATAGTCAGGGAACGGCGCCATGTCAGAATCAGCCAGGTCTCCGAATTCGGGCTTTCCAAAACTTGAGGTCGAATCTTGGCTGATGAAGATGTCAAGATCAGATCCGTTGGATGATTCAGACAGGGTGGGAGCTGCATGGGGCGACGACAGAGAATGGCTGGCAGCACCGGAAGCATCTGTGTACGGGCATGTCTCCGGATCAGACATGTAGGGCAAGCTGGAGTCCGTGACGAGGCTCTCGAGAGGCTGCTTTGATGGGGAGGAAGGAAGCATTTCGTCTTCTGAGCTGGGGGTAATCGATCGCTCGTCCCGAGAAGGCGATGGCTTGATTCCCACGCTGTATCCGGGGGATGCAGGAGGCGTGAACGTGAAAACCTCTGGTGGCAACGAGTAGTTGGGGTTGTTGAACACCGGCATCTCTTCCGCCGGGCTAGAGCCGTGGAGACTCATATTCTCGAACACTTCGGAAGGAGGCGTGTTGCGTGAAGACTCGGATGTGGACGAGTCGAAAGATGACTTCTCTGCGATCCTCTGTCGCGTTCTCGATGCTTTGTCTTGCCTCTCATCCATCTCTGGTCGGTGCTTCTTCGGACGACCCCGTTTCGTTGTCTTGCGCACAATGCCTTTGTAGCCGCCAATGCACATACCACGCTGCCGGTGTCGAGTCAAGGCGTCGTGTCTTGCAAACACATTACCACATAGACACTCATAGGGTTTGTCGCCGGTATGAATCTTAGCATGACGCTTGAGGTCGTGACCCCGAACAAAGCACTTGTTGCAATGATCGCACTTGTACTGGCGGTCGCCCAGGTGGGTCTGCACATGTGACTTGATATTCTCCTTTCTTCCAAAGCGGCGCTCGCAGCCCGGGTGCAGGCATACCCATTTTCCGTCCTCCGGGTCAGGCCCGTGAATGTACGACGCAATCTCGTCAATGGTGACACCCGTTTCTTTGATTGATGCTTGTACGCGAGCGTCCAGGTTCAAGTTATCAATGGATGCGACGCGTGGAGAAAGCTTCGGTTTGGCCGCTGAGCTAGGTGTTGCACTGGGCGTCTTCCTGTGGTGCGGACGGTTGGGGGTGGCAGGATAAATAGGTACTTTTGGTGTCTTTGCACCGTCTTCGGGGCAAGGCATAGCCGCAAGCTCGGGAGATGACATGAAGGATGACGATGCTGACGACGACGAGGCATACTGGCTTTGTGAAAGACTTTCCGACTTGGGAACCTCAAAGCTAGAACCCTGCTCATAGTTAAAGGTATCAAAGTTATCCACTTCAAATGATGCTGTGTTTGGGGGGGAGGACACATCAAACTTCTGCTGCGTGAAAGTAGTTCCAGCCACGCCTTGGAGAGACTTTGCTCGCTGCATGTACGACGACTGGGCTGATCCGGGCATCGCGCTACCCTGGTCTTTGGTGGATCCTGACTGGATGTCCCCACCGTACTGAGCTAGGCCCACGGTTTGCTTGAATGGTGTTGTCGCTGGTGTAATCGGCGCATACTCTGCACGACGCGTTAGTAACTTGCGCTTAGCAGAGACCTGACGAGCCATAACATACGTGTATTGCCGTGCTTGGGCGTATGCGGGTGCTGAGACGGAGTAGCTTCCGACTGCACCGATAACTTCCTTACATCAGCTTGACCGGGAAAAGTTGGCTGGTAAAAGTCCCAAAGTCCCGTCTCGAAAAATTGACCTTCCGTTCCAGATCCGCACGGAACCTTAGCGCTGTGCATCTGTTGTTGCTGCATCAGGTCGAAGTGCATGTTCATGTGCGGAACGTCCTTCCCGAAGGGCGCATTCAGGTAGGCCATACTTGGTTGACTGTCCTGGCCATTGTGACTTTGAAGGTTTTGCACCTCTTCCGGGGTGAAGCAGTCGGTGATGACGGGCATGGGGGCTGATTGCTGGGGAAACGACGGCTGCGCTACACACAGGTATCGTTGGTGTTGGCTGTCCCCAAGCATATTCGGATGATGCGGCTGCGGTACTGTTGTGTTAGTAGTATGAGTTGTACCATCTTGCATGGATTGCGATCGCTGGACACGCAAAGCTCTGTTGTCAAAACTCTGTCCCCGACGATGGGCATGATAACGATGCATCGCTTGCGCCGGAAGACTGGGGGCTTTCACGGCATCAAGAGCGGACGGCGTCGAGATCTGCCGCCTGTGTTGTCGATGTCGCTCATGGAGGTTGCTGTGCGCCGTGGACAGCATGATGGGCGAAAAGGGACTCTGTCTTCGAGCGCTTATCGCAAGGTGCTTGACCGACGGATTGACAGACCTTGGTGTTTGGTCGGATCTGGAGGATTTAAATGCGTAAGCTTTCTGCACCGTACTACTGTGCAAGATATCGCATCCAGCGCCGAGAGTTACCAACCTCACGCAATACTAGCCACGCGGCTGGGCCGACAAGATGGTAATGAACCGCCCTGCAGTGGTGTCAGTCGGTGATCTCCTCAATTAGAACACTCACGCTAGGAAGAAAAAAAGGTTAAAGAAGACGCAGAAGAAAGAACGAAAGCAAGCGCAGCAGTTAAGGAATTAACGCAGCCTCTGCACTAGGTCTATGCAAAGGAAGATTTCTTGCGACAGCTATCTAAAATGCGCTGGACAAGTCGCAAACTGAAGATGCAATCGAAGCCCTTATAAGAAGCTTCCCTGCAACGCGAATTGGTAGAAACGGGTTGAACACTCCTGCTTCGATAAAGGTGGGAAGATGGGAGGGTAAGAACCAAGGAAGTCTTTTAAGGTATTTAGAGGTGGGAACCAGGGAAAGGTGGATGGAGATGATGAAGCTATCCCGATCTATCGCCCACGGTTCAGATCAACAATGGCGTGGTTGGCCTAGCAACGGGGTCGGCTGAGGCGTCAGGGAAACCAGCACCCCTTGGCATGGAGCCCGGCGATTTGGCCAGCGCAGTGGATCGCGCCCTGGTTCCAGCACGGAGCATTAGCAGCCCGCCGCAGCAACCAGTGGTCCGAACACAATTAAAGCTTACGATCCGGCAGGTTTAGTTGCACACCTGCAAGGAGGTTGCTTCTCGCCTGGCTTCTACCAGCGGTCCAGACAACCACCCTATCTCCATTATCGATCTAATCCCACATTTTGCCTCTTATAAAGGACGGGAGGAGGCGACCTGTGGCCTGTGAGGGTTTGAAACATTATTTCACCCTTCCTCTGCAATAGCCCATTTAATAATTGACTCCTGTCCGCATGTTATTCAATCAATAATTAGCAACTGAGCGGAGGGATGGGCGGCAAATGATGACGATGACGAAGTTGACGTCGATGCTGATTGCTGAGAGGTTGGATTTCGAGTCTAGTTAGTTTTAGTCTTAGTAGTCGTACTTTCTGCCTCGCTTTTCCGTGCCGTGTCTATGCCTGACGATGCAGGCACCAAAACTGACGTATCCAAGAGACCGTTGTTAAAGTCAGCAGTCAGCAAGTTGCAACATCCCGTGACCTCAGCCGCAGTCCATCACATGACCGAGGACCCGGAGGGCTGATTATCCGAGTGGCCCACCCACACTACGCCCGACTCGGTAATATGGGCACCACGTGACCGCACAACCGATTTTAACGAAGCCCACCACCACCGAGGATATTTTCCTACCACGATCGTCGAAGGTTTAGGAAGACAAGTCTTGTCGAGGTGAGTTGAGGCCCCTATACATTTTACTATGTGACGAAAGAGAAAAGGGATTTGATATTATCTGCGACATCTCATCTTCATTTCTTTCCACATATTCCAGAAAAAAATATCTCGTGTGCACAACTTAGCGCGCAAGATACCAAAAACTCTGGGGCGAAAAATATGTGATCAAGAAACGAAGATGAGATGCAAAAACGCCGATGATATTCAACTCCCCATTTTTGCTCAAAACACCAGTAGAAAATAAAAAACTAACAAATCATTCTCAAATCAGACCTTCATCAAGATGCAGATCTTCGTCAAGACCCTCACGGGTAAGACTATCACCCTCGAGGTGGAGTCCTCGGACACCATTGACAATGTCAAGTCCAAGATCCAGGGTAAGCATCACACATACACACGACCTACATCATTCCAAAGATATGGAACATATTCTAACGATGATCTTCCAGACAAGGAGGGTATCCCCCCGGACCAGCAGCGTCTGATCTTCGCTGGTAAGCAGCTCGAGGACGGCCGTACTCTTTCGGACTACAACATCCAGAAGGAGTCCACCCTCCACCTGGTGCTCCGCCTGCGTGGTGGTGGTAAGAAGCGCAAGAAGAAGGTCTACACCACCCCTAAGAAGATCAAGCACAAGCACAAGAAGACCAAGCTTGCCGTCCTCAAGTACTACAAGGTCGACGGTGATGGCAAGATCGAGCGTCTTCGCCGCGAGTGCCCCTCCCCCGAGGTATGTTTCATTCCGCCCTATGGTTGAATCTTCTTGTTGGTGCGTCTTACTAACTTTGACTCCTCTAGTGCGGTGCTGGTATCTTCATGGCCGCTATGCACAACCGCCAGTACTGCGGAAAGTGCCACCTCACCTACGTCTTCGACGAGTCCAAATAAATGGACTAAGTCGATCGTTCCGCCATGTCTTCTTTCCGGTAGCGCCTAGCAATGTTGGTCGTGAATGTATGGTGGATGAGGTTGGGACGTGTGCGCTTTGATCGTCCCATAGTGTCCGAGCAATGAGAAATGAAAAAAATTCGAAACCGCTCTCAATTTAGACTACCTAATACGTAGACAAACCACATGTAACTGAGAAAAGCCTACTCAACTAAACTGATAGATAAATCAAAGTATCAATCGCTCTACCGAAATGCGTTCCTCAGGTTGTCGTACTTGCTCTCGGGGTAGGAGAGCACATTCTGCGACTGGTCGAGGGCTGACACGCCTCCAATCCCTTCCACGAAAGTTCCAATCAGACTGCCGTCAGCTTTGTTGGCCGTCTTTCCTCCTTTGTCGCCGCTGGTTTCCCACCACATGCCACCGCCGAGCTGAAGCTTGGTGATATAGTCCAACTTCATCTCGCCCACGGCCACAGTGTCGTAGGAAACCATGGTGCGTGCCGTGGGATCATAACTCCAGGATGCACCCAGGTTGGCATCGACATGTTCAGTGGCTCCTGTTCTGGGCAGCGCTTTGTAGTCCCAGACACCTTGCTCCCAGCTTCCCTGTCCGACCCCCGAGTATGCGGTCCCGGGTCCATCGGTGTTGGTAAAGGCACGCCCATACAGCGGCATTCCCAGGATTATCTTGGATGAGGGGACCCCACCCTTCTGGATGTAGTAATTTACTGCCTCATTGGTTGAGAAAGGCGTCGACGCTGGCTTATCAGCCGAGGGATACAAGTTGGCTTGATGCCCAGCAACAGTGTCCCAACTTCCGGCATAGTCGTAGGCCATCAAGTTGTAGAAGTCCAGGTATGGCGTCATCTGAGACAGCTTGAGCTTGGTGTAATTAGCAGGACCTGCATGAGATCAGCATTCATTTGGGTCTGACTTGGTCTCGCCCCAAGTAAAACAAATTATATCATCCACTTACCAGCTGGACAAGCGATAGTGAGAAGGAACTTCCGGTTCGCACCAGCAGTTGCATCCAGAGTCTAGACAAAGTTAGTGCATGCATGCGCGCATTACGATCAGGGGAAAAGCTCACCTCTCGGCACTTCTGAAGCAGAAGGACCATGTTTTGCGCTTCTGTATCATCTGTAGGTGGTCGTCTTAGTATCGACATCTAACTGGTCACTCATCTCCCCAACAATCCCAGAAACCAACCTTTGGGGTACTCCCAATCGATATCGATGCCTGCAATCATCAGCATTAGCGAATCATGTCCCATGCATTGTCACAAACTAGTCACATACCATCGAATCCAAGATCAGTGACCAATTTAGTTGCAGTCTCAGCAAACTTAGTGCGGCCTGCATCAGTGCTAGCGGCCTGAGCGAAATTGGGAGAGTAGGTCCAACCGCCAATGGAGAGCAAGACCTTCAATTTCCTGTTTTGCTGCTTGAGCAAGAACAACTGCTTGACACAGCCATATACATTGGTACCGACGTCATTCCAGGAGTCTGTGGGGTAGTGCTTCTCAATGTCCGACCAGGTGTCGGACAGATAACTGTGGCGAGAAGTCAGTGCGGCTGATCCGGTGGCAAGGGGGTGATCAGCCATGTGCTGCAGAAGAGTGGAGAGCTTACACTTCACCAGTGTCCGGGCGAACGTTAGCAAATGCGTATAGGACATGAGTCAGCTTGTCGGCCGGAATGTCCTGAGGATTGTAGTTGCGGCCATAAATCGCCTAGCATTGGCATCAGAATTACTACTACACGAGTGGAACTGCCTCCCGTGTCGAGTTGGGATACGGCAGCCAAGATCGAGTGCATGCTCACCCAATTGACGAAGTAGGCCACGGACTTCAGACCAGAAGACATAGCTGGGATGGTAGCGTTCGTGTCGGTAGTAGGTGCAGGATTGGGCTGGAGCGGAAGCACAGCTGCGTCATTCCAAAAGTACCGAGCAGAAAGGATAAGAACAACGATGAGAAGTACGAGACAGTGGATTAATCGCGAGAAAGCCATGGTCGGCAATAATCAGAAGCACTTACCAGCATGCAAGAAGAGGCTGGTAAGCAGAACCCGGGAAAAGTTAGTCGGAAGGAACAAACGATGCAGCAGGAGGGGGGTGGGATGATTGTACCTGCCTTAGGTCACCTCTCCTGTATGGTACTAAGTACACTATATAAATAACAGCAGTTCGGACTTCTGATTGGCTTAGAGTCAATCGCGGCGGTGCAACTGTGGCTGCAGGAGACAGGTGGTCTGCGCTTATGTGATCATCAAAATGTGGCTGACTGGGATTTCAGGAAGCTGATGGGCATCTGCTACTACTCCAGGAGTCTAATGGAGGGATTCGAATTTATATCTCTCTTCGGTGAATAGGAACTATCATCTTCGGCTTGTGAAGTCCTCTTGAAACACAAGTTGTGCCGTCGGTGGCGTCGGTCATTTCTTGTCTGACCATGCCATGCTCTGAATTGTAAAACATAGTCTTCCTGGTAGTATAGACCTCCATGGCTACGACACTATATCGTGTGCTTCCTTGATACTTCACCTCTCGGGGAGGATCGATGAGACTAGACCGGGTAGAACAAGGCGGGGACACTTAAAATTCCTCAAGTGATCTGTGCCTGAGTATCTGTCACGAGAACAAGGAGATCGGCTATCGGGGAGGGATCCTGGTTCGACAACCCAATCCCCAGACTTGCATTGATCGTCCCCGGTGTATCTCAGTTCAGATGACATTCTTAAGGGAAATTTACAAGCGCATGATGTATCTCGGGGTAGTTCACGTCTCCGGAGATATCATGGGAGCTGAGGTTACAACTTCCCGACGTCCGGCATGACCGTGGGTAACATCGAAGTAGCAGGAACTCTATGGTCCAGTGCTCTGTGATGAAGCGGTAGTTCAAAAGTATAGGCCACGTAAGGGAGCATTGAATGACTTGGTATGATCAGACCAAGCAATTAGGATGCGAGGTGGGAGCGCGCGCATGATGCATCTCGCTTGTTCTGGACTATGGAGACCATCACGATTTACCGATCTCATCCTCGTCAAGATCGAGGCACGGGGGGACAGGGGTAGATGCAACCATAGTGGTAGTAGCTATTAGTTCTGTAACGAGTAGAAAGCATTGTCGAGGCACGGTCGAATGAGAGGAATAGCGGAAACGAAACTAAGTAAGGAGCATTCCCGGTTGTACCATGGATCCTGGCCGAACGTGACAGATGACACTAATCCTGCAACCTCGTGGCCTAGATTTGGGGACCCATCGACGACCGAAAGGGACATCACCTCCCAGTCACTAGATAGATAGTTAACTTAATTAGTTAGTTAGGCCCAGGATACGTAGTCATCACCTTGATCGTAAAACAAGAGGTCCATCCGGAAAGATAGCGGCAGCAAGTCCGACGGGATCCCCGCCTCGCCAGTGACTGAAAGCCCTTAACCAGACCAGGAAACAGATCAAGAAGAATTAAGGACGTGAAAGCGACCGAGTGGATCAGTTTCCTGGACCTTCTCAGCTGAAACCTTTGCCTCTATCGCACGGCCGGGGCACTGATTGGCGCGTGGGACTTTAAGCTACTGCAGGGCACGGTTGCACGGCCACAGTTTGAATCCACCAGCATTGCAATTTGGAGCAGATCTGCCAAATCAGAATTTGACCTGCGATGAAAATTTTTTCAAACTGGTTGAGAAGAATGGACAGATCTCAAGGGAACCGCCGTGCATCTGCGTCAGAGGTCAGTCCCTTAATTATTTTGTTTTTCTTTGACTTTCTGCTTTCTCCATCTCCATTTCGCTTTCCGGGCGCATGCAGCTATGGATCCTCCCCGCCCCATCCAGTTCAGCTGGGATGTCCTCGACCAGCTGCACCCAAGAGTTTAGCAGCGACCCAGCACTTCGGTAACTCCGGCGGCTGTCATTGGATGAGTCGAATGTGAGGATCTCATTTCCTGTCTATCTGTCGCTCCGGCCAGAGCGTTTCGCCCCTCGACACGGTAAATTCGACGCCAATGAGAAAAATTCGACTCCAGCAATTCAGCTGGTAGGCCGTTTCCCGCATCAACCCTAGCCATGTGGACAAACTGAAACCTACTACTATACCGAGCAAAGTCAAGGTTCCCGTTTCAAAAATTCTGGATAATTATTCGAAAATTCTCCCCCTTCTCCACATTAACCCGTCGGGTCCACAGCGCGGGCTTGCCGACTGCTTGACAGGAAACGACTGGCAAGCCACGCGCTATCATCCTTCTCTTTCGACATCATTGTGGCGTGTCGCAGAAGTAGACCGTTGCCCATGTGGATGGTCCTGATCGTACCAATTCCCTCGGCTAGGAGGAGAATCTCGTAACATGCCAAGGACTAACAAGTACTATCACCGATAGATTGATTGTTCGCTTCAGCTTTGCAGAGCGGAAAATTGATCCGTCAATAATGAGAAAAGTGTCGGAGTCGCACTAGTCTACCGCTAAGGCAGCAACATCCCTGCCTTGGGTTGCATACTTGCATCGATAGTCCCAAAATAATCTGGCTGCTCGGAGCAACTCCAAGGCAATCTAGGGGAATAATTACCCAGAAAAAAAAGCACATTGAGAAACAAAAATAGTGTAAATTGACCCTCGCTAGGGATATCCAATTAAATCGCATCTAGCGTAAGCCATAATTCAAGGGGGATATCATGACATGAAAAGAACCCGAACAAAGTAGCAGATCAACATGAAAGCCGAAAAGAGCCAATGCAAAGAAGAAAAAGTATAACCGAACAGAATAGGCGTATCATAGGGAATCAAACAGCTTTTCTTTTCCAAAAACAGAACATGACGAGCGACCTGCGCCCAGAATTGCGGATAACAAACCGCCCACATCAAGGGTATACCGAAATAACCAAGCAAATTGGTGCCGTAAGCCCGAAAACCATTCACAACATCATATATCCGTACACTGCAACATCTCGTCCTGCCGAAAGGTTCAGGTGTATAGTAAGTTGCACATCGTGAGCCCAGCAATTCATGGGTGAGAACGGATCCAGGTAAGGATCACGGGCAGGGAAGGATCGTCGGCAAGCCAATGACCTGCCCGCGTGTCTGCAGCCCGGAGATCAGCAACGACGTATTGGTCTGTCACTTGTGCCATTTCCTATTGTTGTATTCAGGGTTAGTCAATGGTTCAATGACCGTAACGATCAGAGCTTTGCTCACCTGTCGGAACGTGTTGCTCACAGTCTTGAGTTGAGCAGCGTGTTGAGGTCCAGGTTGTTGTCCTCGCAGGATGTTCTGCCGGTTGATAGCCCATCTTCTGGCGGCTGCCACGCGAAGGTAGATACGATGGGCTTGAAAGCGCCGGGCGCTAGCATCAAGAATCACTCTCTGCAACTCCGCCTTCTCCGTCTCCACGTTCGACTGAGCAGGTGTCATGCTGGGATTGTAGTTGGACGACATCAATGCCTGGGCGGCAGCCAGGCCTTCTCTGATCGTCTTGTAGCCCTCTTCGTTGGCTTCTGCACTCGGGATTTGGACGTTCTGCTGAGAGATGTGCACAAGTAGAGTTCGGTAGTCATTTATGATTTCGGCCACCCGCAGGGCACGAGCTTCGTTGACTACAACATGTCAATGCCATTGACGACTCCAGGGTAGTGTGGTGAAGTGAAGTAGTCGATACTTACGTCCATCAGCCATTGCAATTGTAGTAAACTTGAATTTGCCTCCGAAAAGTGATTAAAGGTATGTAGAGATGAAGGGTGCAACAAAAGGCACTAAAGGGAACTATATCCAAGAGGAGAGAATGAATGGAGTGTGCTAGAGTAACGGTCCAGTCAATTGACTAGAAGAGACAAGGCGATCTTTATATTCTTGTTGAGTCGAGCTCTGATGTCTTGTATGATATTACTATCTGAAGGCCGAGGGTGGGATATCCTTTTAAGCTTAACGTTCAGCCATAGATACTTTGGATGACCATGGGCCATCAGCCCGGCGATGGGGAACATGGTGAAAGAGGATCATCATCATGAATAGTGGCTGGCTGCGTTGACGGACGCTGATGGAGAAAGGAGGACATCACAGCTAGGGACTGCAGCTGGATAATGACACCCATTGTGGATCAATAGTAGGAAACGGGCCCCATGAGAGCCATGTGTCCGAAAGGGCCTGGGATGTCCACCCACGGCGAATGGATCTAAGGCTGATATCTAAGCGCGACGCTAAGCAGCTGGTCCAGGTAGGGGGATCAATGCTTATGGGTCTGCATATGCATAAGAAAATGAGAAGATACACAAAACTGGGTCACGGCAACCGGCGATAGCAGTCAACGCAGGGGTGGGAATGAGAATATTGGGAAAAAGAAAATCAACACTAGAAACGATATTCAAGACTGGGGCCGGGCAGAGAGAAAGAGACTCCACCGGCTTGTGGGTGGAGAAGGTGGACAGGGTGATACATCGCCGCATGTGTCACAGAAGGACCACACCAGTGGAAAAACCGATAAAGCCACAATGAAAATTTTATTATGATTTATTTTAGTATATTTTGACTTTTTGGGGGGGTTTTAGGGGAAAGTGCTGGATCTTGGTTCATCTTGCAGACTGGGTGGAGACGGGCAAGCATGAGCAGATGGACCATCAACCCATGGCATGATTAGTTCGTTCTAATCCTAGTAAGTAAGTAGCGGGATTCTAAGTTGTCAAAAGACACACTAAAAAAAAAAAAAAAATAGAAAAAGAAAAAGAGAAAGTAAGTGGGAAAGTGCGAGTTACTGCCAGCTGGGATGAGGGTCATCCACCCTCGGTAAACGCCACACCCTAGTAATTCATAGTTCACATCAGCTGCAAGTTGGGACGGAGATATCGACAAGAAGGGAATAATCGAGTGCCAGTGCAGGGAAATCCTCGCAAGGATTTGGCTTTGACACGGACTCGGTTTAGGTTCAGGCACCGTTCGGTCCCACGGCAAACAGGCAAGGGCGTCAAGAGCAGAGAGTACAGCAGCGAGAAAAATGAAAAACGAGAGAAGCAAAAATGACAAAGATAGAACGGCGGCCAAAAAGAAACCGCGAAAGCCACAACTTCCAGCTCAGCCACAGAGAGGCGAGTAAACCAGCTGAAAATGGAAAAGCAAACACCGCAGCCTCAGGCTTGAAGGTACTAGGTTTACTCGCGCAATCCACCATTGACTTGGTTCTGACTACTCCATACTACGGAATACTACTAGTTCCTTCCCGTCATCATCCATCCGGGGCTGTTGCTCTCTCCTTCCTTGTCTGTCACTTCACGTCTACTTGCAGGATACGAACAGTAGTAGTATCTCCGTCCCGACCTCCTCGGTGGCAAGTTTCATCATGCTCCTCCAATAAGCATGGTCAACGTTGCTTCAGTGCGAAATGCTAGTCCGGAGAGATTGCTTTCCCATTAAGTGCTAAAGCTTGCAGATAGCACGCTCCATACTTCATAGCAGTAGACGTCTGACATTGCTCTACATCGATAATCCCGGTACCGCCGTTCCTTTCTTTAGTAACAAGTGCTGCAGCATAGAACGTGCAGATAAGCAACTTCCTTCTCTAAGCCTGTCAGATCGCAAAGACCATACTTTATCGCACCGTGCTTGTCTATCCCCATATTCGCCACCAGTCCGGAGGAACAGGCGACGGGTCTTTCCGATACAGGAGCCCCGGTTACAGTAGCTGCAAGGGGGGCTTTCCAGGTTTTGGATGTCAAGTACAGCAGCGGTGCAAAAAGCAAGTCAACCGACCAGGATGAGAAATAGAGTTTCGTCAGACACAGGCCAGCTCATGGCATCAGAGAAAAATAATGATGTTCATCGATCGTTTGCGTCTACCAACATGGATGCTCCCAGTAAAAAACAATGAAACCCAGCTCAGTCCTTCTCGCTGATAGCCTGCAGTCGTTCGTCGATCTCCTCCTCCGTCAAACTCCGGAAACCAATGTCTGTCCCTTCCTGGCCATCTGCTCGTGGCCCTCCCACGATTCCAATCTCCAATTCGTGTTTCTTGAAATCAACACTCAGCACATTACTCAAAGCCGTGATTCCCAGCTCCACCACATCCTCCCAGCTGCCGTCGGCGTACTCCTTGTTCTTCAGCTTCTTCTCCAAGTAAGTGATCGCCTCTTGCTGCTTCGGTCCAGATGCAGTCGCCTTATATCCGATATAATATCCGGCAGGATCGACCTTGTAAAGCTGGGGACCCTTCTCCGAATCAACGGATACCAGGGTCGTGGCAACTCCGAGGGGACGCATGTAAGCCTAGAGGGTGAACGTGATCCATCAGCCAATATCCCGGGCTATATTTTGAAGCAGGCGACACATACCCTTTGCGTGTAGACCTGATTGATATTGCCAAGTCGCTTTGCGAGGACATCACAGGGCATCTCGTAGCCATACTTGTATCGGAATTCAGCCGCCTCACCACGAGCACGGTCAACACTGGCTCTCGCATCGGCGATGGAGCCAGTCATCACACAGCCCACCGACGGAGAAAGTCTGAAAATGTACGAAACGGAGGAGGGGTCGATCAATTTGTCCTGGTATGGTTATCAGAGGATGACCGATAGGCCGTCTCGGGCGGCGGGGACGAGCTTACAGCAACTTTCTTCTGGGACAGAACCACGGCGCAGTTCTTTCCCTTCACACCTATCGAGGTGATGTTGGCCGAGGTGATAGCCTTGAAGGCATATTCTAAGCGCCGAGGGCATCAATGGTGAGTAGGCGGTCTTGATGGTCTAATGTGGTCCGTGATCGGAGTACTTGGAGGGTCGTCGGGGAGAGGCGGTTATAATGAGAGAGGGCCACTTACCAACTTGGTACAGACGACCCGAGTCCGAGAAGATGGTAATGTGTCTGTCATATGCACTTCCTATTCACAGAGGTTGTCAGTCTATCGATGAAGTCATGGAAGCCGGTTCAGTCGAGAGGGTCCGGGAATTCTCACCAGACATGATTGCGGTGGTATATCAAACTCGATTCGAAGATACAATAAAAATTAACTAGTCTTATAGCAAGTTGAAAATGGAATCGAGATGGGGGGAATGAAGGATCGAGGACGAGGGAGGAGGGACGTTAGCAGAGGACGCGTGCCAGAGGGTGCCTGGCCGGAGCTCTAAGCTTTGGGTCCCCGTTTGAGTAAGCTCCAGCGTCACCGCCTTCACGGCTTCATCATTGTGCCGCTCATCTATGATCCATCGCTCAATGATCTACTATTAAGCTCTTCTGCGAATGTCAAATATATTATTTTCGACTTATACTTATATTCCTGTGTCTTTCAAGCTGTCCTGATTTTATTGGTTTCTCTTTAATTCAATATCACTAGTACTTAGTAATCACTACTTACATCTTAGTGCTACTAGTTACTATAGTTCAGTACTATCGTCACGATATATAGTATAAAGGGGTTTAAGATACTAACTTAGGAGTGATCTAGTATTCTTAGGAATCCTACCAACATTATTAAAATCATTCTTACTGGTTGGCAAGAGACTACCGGCAGCTGCTGTCACAGGGAGGTCATTGGTCCACTAAAAGAGTCTTGCATCTACTTAGAAAGCACTATACTATGAGTAGTCTACTCAGCTAAGTAGTAATGTTATCATGATGAAACTCAGTTTAGCAATAGCAGTTAGGCAACTACCAGAGTTGTGATTGATCGAGCTATAGCAATGTCTATAACTGGACATGATGGTCTATATATAAGCTTCTACAAACATCTCGCTTTTTTGGTACATAACGATCAAACAGCAGGTCATTGATAGGGTGTGTGAATACAAGAAAGCACGAGCACCTGACAATCCAAAAGTGGCATCACAGCTAGTCGCTCGAACTTGAGCTATCTGAATCGCTGTCGCTATCACTGCTGCTGCTGCTGTCACTATCACTGTCACTGCTGTCTTTAGCCGACGAGGCTTTAGCAGCTGCAGGCTTAGCCTTGGTCTTCTTCTCATCGTCACTGTCGCTGTCGCTATCACTGTCGCTAGAACTTTCACTCTCACTGCTGCTCGAAATCTCAACGATAGCAGTACGGTTCTTCTTCTTTTTCTTGCCAGGCTGGGCCTGAGCCCCCTTCTTTCCTTTCTGCGCAGCGGGCTTGGGCTTGTGATAATTGAACAGCGTGCCGTTAACAGCAAACAGAATGAGCTCAGCCCGTGCCCTATTCTCGTACTTCTTCAGCGTCTCCGCATTGAGCTGCGCAGTAACATCCTGACAATCGATATCTTCTTGACCCGCAGCCAAGCGTGTCCGGAAGACACCAACAGCCTTGTCGTAACTCGCCTTATCCGTCGCCGCGGAGCTCTCGTTGGCCTCAGAAGAAGAGCCCTCCTTCGACTCCTCCGTCTCTGCAGGAGCACTACTAGGTTGATCCTCCTCGGCATCGGCCTCCGCCTTGATAACCTCCTCGGCAATCTGTCGCAACCGCAACTTGGCACCTTCGCTCTTCAACCCCTGTAAATAGGCAAGCAAAGCCGCATTGTACAGCGTCGGGACCTGCTCCAGCGACAGAACATGTTTGAAGAGATGCGTCTCGCGATTCTTCTGGAACTTCCACGCCGACCGATGCTTGTGGTACAGACTCAGGTAGGAAAGGATGGGCGTTTCGTGAATTCTCGGTGTCGTGCCGGATGAAGCATCATTCGAACCGTCCTGCTTCTTGTTCTTCTTCTTCTTTTCCTTCTTCTTTTTCTTTCCCTCGCCTTCATCATCAGCCTTATCCCCGGTATCATCATCACCATTACCCTCAGCATCAATCTGCATTTTATCCTGCTCCTGAGCTTTTTCCTGCTCCTCCTCCTGATCGTCCGCATCACCATCCAACTTCTTCGCATCCTCCGAAAACGACACACTCTTCTTCTTCTTTCTCTTCTTCTCGGCATCATCCTCCTTCACCTCCTTACCCTCCTCCTCATCATCATTCTCAAGCCGTCTCTTCTTGCTCTTCTTGCGATCCTGCTTCTTCTCCACATTTGTTTCCCCTGCGTCCACAACTCCCTTTTTCTTTTCCGCCCCCTCCACCGTATCCTTAGCGTTCTTGAGTTTCAGACCCATCTTCTTCCAAGCCGGAATATGTTGTTGTTGTTGTTCTTTGTGCTGTTGTGGAGAATCTTGAGGGTTGCTCGACATGAGCGATGCGACGGTATCGTACTAAGAATCGTTCGATTTTCGCGGACCGGACAATGGACAAAATTAAACAATTTTTATGTGTGTATGAGTCGCGTTGTCCCGAATATAATAACAATGGGAGTACAACGGAGGGAAAAAATCGTAGTTCAGTGGTGGATAAAAAGAGATTAGTTAAGTGTATGGGTTTGATTCCCTTGATGGTCGCCCAGAAAGTTTTGGGGAAATTTTCCACGTGAGGGTGCGGAGATAAAATAAAATTTAAGTGGATTTATCTGGATTTAACTCCGCTTTTAGTTATCTACACTACTACAAGTATTTAGTTAGGAGTATAACTACTACTAAGGAGGGATATTTAACTACTTATAATCTATTGGTTCTAATAAATTTGATTGACTATACATGAGATCGTTATGACTTCTCGTTTTATGAATTTTATGAATTTATCACTTCGCTTCAGTTCCCATCCAGCCCGTATCATGCCATCCATCCATCCATCCTTGACTCCATGAACTTGTACAAAAATCAGACAGCCAAACACACGCAGACCAAAAAACCCCCTCATTTGACGAGGGGAATAGATATACAGCCCAAGACTCACAGCAAACATCTACAACTTATTACCCAGTAGCGCTCCCAGTCCCGCTATTTTCCGCTTTCTCTCTCTCTTTCTCTCTCCTTGCCTCCTTTGACGACGATGCATTACCCTCCGCAGCAGCAGTCGCATTAGCAGCCGCAACAGCCGCGGCCTTACGTCTCGCCCTCTCCTTATCACGCGAACTGGAGCCCGCGGTCCTGCGTCTTCGAACGGGTTCATACACATCGTTAAAGTTCATGACGACGCCGAGGAACCGCATATCCACATCAGGCTGGTACGCAAGATCGCCTAGAAGGACGTTGAGACGGGAGCGGAACTCTGCGGAGAGGTCGCGGAGGCGGACGCGCAGGGAAGCGAGCATATGGTCGTCTGCGGAAAGGTCATGGGGGTTGAGGGAGGAAGGGGTGCCGATGCCGAAGTCGTCACCACCACCACCAGCAAGGTTTGGCGTGTAGGCAGCGACGGAGGGGGACATAGAGGAGGAGACGGAGTCCTTGTGGCCTCGAAGGGGGCGACGGAGATCGCGGTCAGTGAGGCCCCAGCGGCCTTGGGCGGTGCGAGTTTCTATTTTGGCGCTGAGCTCTTGTCTGCGGGTGAATTCTGCGACGGAGAAGGAGTAGAGGCCGTCGACGGCGTCTTTATAGGCGAGCATGATTTTGAGGATTTGGTGGAGTTGGGTGAGGAAGCCTTCTTCTTGCTGTTGTTTGGTGTTTGTTGAGGAAGAGGTGGTGTTGCTTTTAAAGGAGGTGGATGAGCCGAGAAGGCCTTTGTGGGTGATGGAGTTGAGGTATTTGGTGTGTGCTTCGATTAGGTCGTCTAGGGTGCAGCCAGGCTTGGAGATGGAGGCTTGTAGTTGGTCCCAGCTTGCTTCGATCACTTCGAATAGGATGTAGTATTGAAGTTGGCACACGAAGTGGATCATCTCGGCGATTACGCATCTTGCTCGTTTCCAGTCCGAGCCGACTTTGTCGTTGACGCTTCCTAGGACGCCGCGCGCGCCGGTCATGCATCGTCGCCAGGTGCTGCCTAGGGCGAATTCGACTCGTTTCACACGCCAGAGGAAGTTGAAGACTTTCAGGTATTGAGTGGAGCCCCAGGGTGTGATGACTACATCTACTGGGGCGTCGATTTTGTATTCCAAGGTGAAGCAGTCCCAGCCAATCTCTCCGTGGCTGAGTTCTAGCATGCGGGCATCAAGTCGACGGAGGACATCTGGGGAGTCATATTGCGCGTTTGAGGCTCGAATAGCATGCTCCAACTGGGCAGTCAGTGTATGCCGGTACTGTGAATTAGCTGGCCGGTCGAGGTTGGATGCTAATGACTCCATCAGCAAGGCGATGAAATCACCCTGTCCGAGCAATAGGTATTTCTTTAGTGCGCGAAGATGGTCGAAGAGCTTGAACTTATCGTCCATAAGGTAGATCAGCCGTGCCATCGTAGTCTTATAAGCTTCGTCAATTGAAGACTCCAAGGTAGCCGTATCGCCATACCGCAGCTCCTTGGAGGCTTCCTTCGAGTAGGCTTCGACCCACCCCGAGTCTCCACAGCCATATCGTATGAAGTTCAGTGATTTTCCGATCAGGAAAACCTTCTTAGCAAAATCTTGTGTGATGATGGAGGGCACCATCTCATCGTCAAGCTTATACTTGTCCTCCCAAACACTGGTCGCAATGCGACGTGGATCCGTACTGGGCCTGAACTCGGGCTCGACAACGAAGAATTCTTTGTAGGGGTCGGACAGCTCGCCATCATAGATCCAAAGCCGGAGCATATCGTAGAAGGGCCGGGTGACGTGGTTGAGAAGCTTTTCTGCCAGAGCGCATACAAAGGGGTCTCCATGAGAAGTCGAGAAGCCATGAATCAGAGAGATCAATTGACCACCTTTCTTGTCTGCAATATCAACGTTAGCTTGCATACAGTCTTTTCACAATCGGAGCACATACTCTGAGCTTCCTCAACAATAAGACTCATCAACCGCAGCGCCATGGTTGCATCTCGCGTCCAGACAACACATCGCTTCAACGTCACACCACTCTTAGAGGCACTTCTAGGATCATTGGGATCTGCAGGTGCCGCCAACGCCCGTCGGATCTCTCCTTCCAACGTAGCAACTAGGCCTAGATACGAACGGAGCTCATTTGAGAGAGCTGCCCGCAAGCTCTGGCTCAGAAGCCCACCGCCCGAGCTCTCAACAAAGGACGACAACCCACGATATAACAGACAGGGTTCTGCAAGAGAGTTCAGGAGCGAAACGACGGGCAACGGCAGTGACGGCGGCAATTTCAAGATGGACGATG